ATTTGACCCACTTCAAAATCCCTAAGAAAATTTATCTAATTATCAAGATTGAACTTGCCAAAATACTCTTGACTTCTGAAATTTATTTTAAATGCTAATGTTACAGATAATTTTTCTGTGGTAGAGAATAAAAACTGTCATTTGAGGGGAAAATATGGTTGATTTCCCAAGATTTCTGAATGTTTTGATATCTATATAGATTGAAAAAGGGGGCTGAATAGTTACAGACAAAAAAAGGTAAGGGTTTAAAAAACATCACACTTTTTTTGTCTCTTGGAGTAGGCTCCCACTCATAGCGTCCTTGTGTACAACAGAACGAAACACTGCCCAGTCCTGTGCCAGCCTCACAATTCTTGCTATACCTGAGCCCATTGTTGCAGCCACTGTGTCAATCCATCTCATTGAAGGGCTTCCCCTTTTCCTCTGACCCTCCACTTTATGTTGTTCTTGTTGTTATGTGCCATTGAGTTGTCTCTGACTCATAGCAACCCCTCCTTGGGTTTCTGAGGCAGTACCTCTATGGAAGTAGACTGCCCAACCTTCCTTCCGAGGAGTGGCTGGTAGGTTTGAACCACCAACCTTCTGGTTAGCAGTCAAGTGCCTTAGGCACTATGCCACCAGAGCTCCTACCCTCCACTTTACCAATCATGGTATCCTTCTCCAGGGAATGGTCCCTTCTGAAAACATGACCAAGTAGGTGAGATGAAGTCTGGTCATTCTCACATCCAAGGAGCATTCCAGCTGTACTTCTTCCAGGATAGATTTGTTAGTTCTTCTGGCAGTCTATGGTACTTTCAGGATTCTTTGTCAATACCACAACTCAAATCATCAACTCTTCTTCGGTCTTCCTTATTCATTGTCTAGCTTTCACATGCATATGAGGCAATTGGAAATACCTCAAATGGTTTGGGTTAGGTGCATCTTAGTCTTCAAAGAGATATTTTTGCTCCTCAGTACTTTAAAGAGGTTTTTTGCAGCAGATTTGCCCAGTGCAATATGTCATCTGATTTCTTGACTGTTATTCCTTGACTATTAGGGCAGTTAATATAAATCTAATTGTGAAAGCAGAAGAAAAAGAAACAAAATATGTGTAAAGGAATAGAACAACAACAAAAAAAACGAACTGGTATAAAATTACTAATAATCCCAGAGGGTCTCATCATTTGACATAAATTCTTACATACAGGCTTATTAATAAAGAATTACTAAAATGAGTAATATGTCTCATTGAAATGAAAGTTAGATTTTGTGGGAAAGGGGAAAGAAGTAAAAAAGGTTTAAAATTGTTTTTCAATGTTTGTATATTATGGGTTGTGTGTGTGTGCAAATGTGTGCTCACGTGCACCTATAAACTAATTATTCTGTACAAGTTACTTGGTGATTTGAAGTAGAGATTTGGTATTTAATTCCATTAAATATTTGTAGAAGCTGAAACATGTAGTAGACGTGTGTTCTGGTTCTCTAGTGCTGCTATAACAGAAATACCTCAAGTGGATGACTTTCATTAACAGGGATTTATTCTCTTCCAGTTTAGGAGGCTAGAAGTCCGAGTTCAAAGGGCCACCTCTAGGCACTGGGTGAAAGCCTCTTGACCTTGGGCTTCAATTCTGCCTCTGGCTCCCAGTCCACTGGAGCTAGAGGAGTCTCTTAACTCAGGAAGTTGCTGGCTGTTGAGGCTGACAAACTCAAGGTTGACGACTAAATTGGCACAGTTCAAAGGTTATTAAGCAACATGGCAGGCCACGAGTTCAAGTCCAGAAATAGTCCCAAGATCAGCAAGCAACATGGCAGGCTGCTGAATGAACACTCAGCTACATGCAGGGTCCAAGTGTGTCTGAAAGCTCAGACACCTTTCTCAAAGCTTCTCATATACTGGAAGCAGACCACATCCATAAGGCAGCTACTCAACTGCTAACAGCAGATTCCACTGTGGAGTTGATTGCCAATCTCATCACGTGGAACAACTACATCCAGCTGCCCAGCAACTCAAAACCAGGTCCAGCCAAGTTGACACAAAACCTTAACTACCACAGGTGGGATTGGATGAAGAGTTTCCTTGGATTGTCAGGATATAGCTGTTATCTCGCAGGGTTAATTTCAAAAAGCAGCTCCAGTAGACAAAACCAATTATTATAATGAAATGTGCAAAGACCTGGAGTTTGAAAACCAAAAGGGAAGAACACGCTCGGCATTTCTCAAACTGAAAGAACTGAAGAAAAAATTTAAGCCTCGAGTTGCAATAGTGAGAGATTCTATGGGCAAAATAGTGAATGATGCA